GATTGCATCAATAATTTTTCTTCTTCATTTGTATGTTGATTAAAATTGCATATTAACAACATATCGACTTTTTCGTTTCTTGAATACATTTTCCGTCTCTATTGATAATATGCAACTTGAATCAACACACAAATGAAGAAGAAAAATTTTGATGCAATCGATTAACTGTCAAACACATAAAACATTTTGTGTAGGTATACCGCCTACTAAATGAAATAATTATGAAAACATAGACTGATAGCCCTGTGGATCATCGTACAAGAGGAACAATTTTAGTTTTTTTATTCTAAAGGGGAAGATCATGTGATAGGTACATGGCGAAAATAAAATACAGATAGTTTCTGTACGAGTAGCTGAATTCGAAAAAATATGTTCCTATCTTAGATTCCTCAATATCATGAGTTATTTTCGAAGGTTCTCATCTTGACTCAATCAAGCTATTGACAACCTGCAGACATTGATCAGAATATCAAAACATTCTGAATAATATCGGTTTACTAATGATCTTTGAGTTTCAAAGTCTACCAAGTGTCGATATATCATCGAATTCATGTCACAGCCAACTCATTCTTTTCGAATAAATAGCAATTCAAGAGCGAATTAAGAAATTAATGCCACTTTGTGATACATGGTTGGATAGAGAATTTCAAGGCGAAAAAAAAAAAAAAAAAAAAACAATATACTTCGACTGGTCATGCATATTGCTTCTCAATGTATAATTTTATTTCTCATTCAAATTTTTTGTGTGTTTTGATATTCTCCATAAGAATCGGTAGCTGGTTATACAATTTTGGACCAAAGTAAGTTACAAAGGACCCCGCACATTTAGTACGGAAAATGGCTTTCGGCTTATTTTTCTAAAATTAACAGATCGATCCTATGACGAGTTTTCGAGCTCAATCATTTGATTTTGGCTGTTTAGAATATTTTGCATCGATTTGAATTATGTGCTCTAAGTCGTGATAAATCTTCAGTAGAAATAAACGCTCCACGTCTAATTTCTACCTCATGAATCCCTCTATTCGAATAGATAATAATATCACATACATTGCATTGACAAGGCAATAGACAAATATTGAAAATATCAGAATTGTTTGGCACACTATGGATCTTGTTCATCAACATGATGATTCATATGATTTTCTCTGATGAAATGTCCGGTTTGCCATATGTAGGGTGATGACAATTTGGAAGCTTAGAATTGATGTACCGCATGTACAAAATGAGATACATATCACGAATGGTTCATAGCTGTTTGTTTAATATATAAAGTGGAAAATAAAATGTCTCATGAAATACCCCCTTGCCTAGCAGAATGATATAGGTAATGAATATTTTTTGATAGTTCACCAAGTCCGAGATATGAATAATACCACTGGAATGCATTTTCACCGAGCTATTCAATGAGGTATCACAAGTAGGTAGGAGCTACTATTGAAATGATATGCGTTTGGGTGGTTGTGACTCAGGGGTTTGGTGATGGGGGTATTTCATGAGACATCTTATTTTTCACTTTATATATTATATAATCAATTATGAACCATTCGTGATATGTATCTCATTTCGAATATGAGTCGCGTCAATTCTAAGCTTTCAAATTGCCATCACCCTATCAGAGGAAATCATATGAATCCTCATGTTGATGATCAAGATCCATAGTGTGTCAAATAATTGGCCGATTCTAGCTGTTTGTTTCCAAGTCTTCAGTGATTGAATAAAAATCGAAGTTTTGATATTTTCAATATTCGTCTGTTCCCATGAATATCACCTTGTCATGATGGAATGCAATACCCTGTGTGTGATATTATTATCTATTCAATAAAAGGTAGAAATTAGACGTAGAGCGTTCATTTCTACTGAAGATTTATCACGACTTAGAGCACACAATTCAAATTGAAGATAGCCAAAATCAAATGCTTGACACCATGTAACTCCAAAATTGGTCATAGGATCGATCTGTAAATTAGACTGTGTAGTAAGGACGCCATTATATAATTTATCATATCAAATTCTCACAAAAATTAGTGGAATTCCATTTTCTGTACAAAATCTGCGGGGTCCTTTTTGATTATGACTCAACCTGCAGCATAGAACACTAATAATCTGATTTGACTCAAAGCGTGGTACTGTGTGGGTGTGAAATTACTTTTATATTAGGATTACCTGATATCCATAGCAGACACTTATAGGCAAATAGTTTCCTCACTTTGAATATGGCTACCGGCTTCTTGATTTAATTCCCCAGATGACAAGATGGCGGTCGTTGATGTACCGGTAGTGGCAAGTGAGCTCAATAAATTGAAAAGAAGTGCACTGATATACATTATATTTACCGAAAAGGTACAGAGTGATTCACCATAAATGTCCCCCCCCCCTCTAGCTCAGTTATTTTTGAACCGATTTTAGAATTTGAAATATCATCTCGAATGATTTTCGATAAAGTTTTTTTCCGTCAGATCAGAAAATACAGGGTGCTCGGAACAAACGATTCTACAGGGTACTATTTGATTTTTTTAAATATAGAACACCCTATTTTTCATTGTATTTTTAGATTCTCCCTGAAGAGCTGATTTGATCAATGTATCACACTTTAGGATTTTTTTTGTGACGAAACTATTCATTATCGGTCACGCGGTTTTCATGTCCGTATCTTAACTTTTTATTTACTATCTACTGACATTTAATAATTGGAACAGATACAGGGTGACCAGAATTCTGAATCTTGAACCACCCTGTAAATGTTCCAATTAAATTTCACTAGATAGTAAATCGAAAGTTGGGATGGGAACATAGGGGCCGTTTCGACCAATAATGAATAGTTTCGGCACAAAAAAATCCTAAAGTTGAAAAATCTCGATTTTGAACACCCTATATCTCTGTAATCATTCCCGCTAAACCCCAAGTGTAATACATTGATGAAATCAGCTCTTCAGGAAGAATCTAAAAATACAATAAAATACAGGGTGTTCTATTTGAAAAAATCAATTAGTACTCTGTAGATCGTTTGTTCCGAGCACCCTGTATTTTCTGATGCAGCGGGAAAAAAATTTCAGAAAAACCATTTCAGATTATCTTTCAAATTTTTAAAACGGTTCAAAAATAAGTGATCTAGAGGGGGTGACATTTATGGTGAATCACCCTGTACCAGTACCATGATGTTCTGATATAATTTCGAGATGAGTTGGATAACCTATACGGAAACTCACATACCACCTCGAAAAACGAACATCTGAACAAGGGGATTCAATATTGATACTCACACAAATGTGCAATTTTGACAAATTCAAACATCCAGAGTCATCTAGTAATGTTTCATCATAACATGAGAAAAACGAAAATGATTTGCCATTTGAAAGAAATGAAGTAACCTGTGTCATATGTCTATACTTTTTTTGCCACGCTGTATTTGGACGTAGGTAAAATAGATAGTTCACTAAAGTTGAACATGAAAACCCCTTTTCATGTTCAACTTTAGTCGTGCTTGCAAAAGGTCCGGTCGTTTTGAATTCTTTATATGTTTTTAGGACCTAAACCAATATTAAAATTTCTTCAAAATGGTCACAAATTTTGTGAGTTATTTTCTATAATACGCTTCCCACGTGAAATATCATATATAATGAAGTTGAAGAATTCAATAGGATTTGTTTTGAGACTAGATTGGGATCTGTGAGCCCAGCGGTTTTCTTGAAAACGGCAGATATCCAAGACCAGTCAGCTCCCAGAGCAGCCTTTCTTGCATTTACATGAGATCTTTCGCAAAAGAGCAAGAGGTGCGGGATAAATGGTGGTACTGGTACTGGTGAGGGACGTTTCCACGTCAGCAACTATATTCCCCAATGGGACCTTTTTGCAAACCCCAAGTGTTTTCAATGACTGATGTGGTTCGCTCAAGAGAGCTGGCTAACATCCTTTTCAGGCACCGCCCATCAGCTCTCTTTTCAGAGTTTTCAGAGCTGTGTTTTGTAGGCTAGTAATGTACTCACTACCATATGCGCAGTGGCAGGCCTGCTAACTATCCTCGTTAACCCCCGAGATCGAGGTCTACTTAAGCAGCTGGCCCGCTCTCACGCTTAGCTGGTAGTTTTTCCACACCCACCTACATACACCGTCCTACTTCTTCTCTGATGCTCACAGCCACATCATCATATCTTTCTGCGTGTTCTGTGTAGGCTTTGTTACTAACTCCATGCGCCACTTTAGGAGCAGCACTGTTAATTGGAACGCAACAGCGAATCGTGCAGGACTATCCCTAAATGGTGGTGGAGATGAGGGTGAGTCTCTGTGAAGACATCTTCCACCTCCAATCTGTAGGACTCTGTTTACTCCCCGCCACTTCTGCACTTGGAGGTAGCACCTCGCTGCATGGTGGCCTGCAGCCTCTTCCGTCGATGGCAATCGAGCGAGGTTTATGCTCGTTGGAGTAACAAACGTCATATACCTCAGGAAATCCAAAGTATCCTTCGCGATATCACCCCCATATAGAGCCACAAAACATTTGATGCCTGCTCCTCCCACGGCTTGTGGGGTGGAGTCTGGCCGAAGAAAAACTTCCACGTGCTCAGCAAGTGGTTCACTCTTGCTCAGGAGTGTAGTGAATTTGGTCTTCCCTTGGCCTAACGGCGCTGAGGTAGTATCGCACCGGGTGAATGCATGGGTGAATAGTACCGTCCCTGGTGATCGCTGGGAGTCCTGGTTGTTGTAGGAGTTCGTAGAGAAATGACAGCAATCAGCTTCGCTCTTCGTGCTCTTCTGATGGTAGACGTTTGTCTCTTCAGCGCCTAAACCATTGAGAAGAACGAGCAGGTCGACGTCTTCTCCCACTATGACGACCCTATTGGCTATTGCTCGTTTTGAAAGCTCCGTCATGACGATCTCTCGATCTGCATCTTCTTCGGCGACAACAACTTCTAATCCCTCCTTCTGAAAAGAGTCACGAAAAAGAGTTATAAGGCGTCTCTTTTTGTTCTCATTGCCCAATACATGCTCTCGAGCAATTTGAATTAATGTGGATTCATCGAACTATAATTCGTAACTCTAATGAGTTGCGTAGCGCCGGAGTCGTTTGGCTGTTTTCGTGTTTTTTTGGCAGCATCTTCGTGGTAGCCGTCAAAGATGATGGAGACGTTCTTCTCAAAGTGGTTACGGACGTAGGTAGTATAACGTGCCGAGAGTGCTTGAACTGTGCTCTTCCGCTGCCACACGACTTTGTGCAAGAGGTAGGCATGTGGCTGGAAGGCAGAGTACAGCGTGGATTCAGTGCCCTTACGCATTCCTTGTTCATCATACTTAAAGTTATCCTGTGAACATTGCTCAGATTGCTCCGCTATACATACTCGCTGGGAAATTGTGAGCGGATCCACAGCTACTCTCCTGTTTTTCTCCGGCAATTTGAATGATGAAATGATAGATGCCAGAGTAGTGAGCTTGTTTTTCCGCTTTATTACTACCTTGTCATACATTTACCCCACAATTTTCATCACTCCCTCTGTTTCCACTCTCTGGGCCTTGTGGCAATTGATCTCAGGGCCTGCGAGTGAATCACTACTTATAGAAAGCAAGCTGTCAGTTTTGGGAAATGGAGGGTGAAGAGCAAACTAGTTTTTGAATTTTTCCACATCGCTGTTTTCTCGGATGATTCGAGACGGTCTCATGTCTACATGTTGCTCTCCAGTAGGACATGAGATGGTACAGAAAGTTTCAAGCTCTTCACATCTGTTGTAACTGTTTGATAAAAAAACATAACATAGTTCATTTACATTTCCCCCCAAACCCCACTTATGACTGTTTTTGAATATCAGCCGTTTTTGAGAAAACCGCTATAGGCTTACAGATACCAGTCAAATGAAAGCTAACTGAATTTACTACAATCATTTCACATAATATTCGACGTGGGAAGCGTATTCTAGAAGATAATTCACAGAATAGGTGACCATTTTGAAGAAATTCCACTTTTTCGACAAAATTGCCGATTTTCGAAGAACTGAATCTTGGGAACCAATAGCTGTATGGAGCTCACCTTGGCCTCGAATTGTAGCAAATTTATTTATCTTCCAAAGTTTATGGGGTGACTATGGCGGTCAAACGCTTTCTTCTCAAGATATTGAGCAAAAACTGAAAGAGGTCCGAAAATTTCTTGGTTCTTTGGGTATACTTTCGCTCGCACAGCACTTTGGAAATTGTAAATCTGTTTTTTTAATATTGGTTTAGGTCCTAACAACATATAAAAAATTCAGAATGACCGGATCTTCTGCAAGCACGGATGTACATCTTGATTGGACTGATAGTACGTAAAGCGTTTTTTAAAGCGATTACGCACTCATGGAATTACGAACGCGTTATTTTTCCATTCGTGCGTAATATGCTTCTTACAACACTTGTTACGTAATATACTAATATCTACCTATACACTTAATTTCTTTTTTCAGCAAATTATGAATAAATTATTGGAACTTCAAGATGCATTGATATCAATGAAGTGCTGCCTGTGCCGAGAGGTGTTATCAGTGCCGCCGATAATAGCGATTTCTGAAGATGGAAAACAATTGAAGTGTGGAAGGTGTGAGAATGTCAAGAAACCATTCAACGCTAGAAATTTTGCTTTCGAAAATATCGTGAAGTTTTTCTCATTTCCCTGCATCTACAAGGATTGCAATAAAATGATCTCGTGGGAAGATGTGGAAAGCCATGAACTCATTTGTGAGAAAAAAACTATCAGGTGTCCAATTTTTTACCGAGCATGTGAACGCATTGTTCAGTTGCAGAATTTGGAGGAGCACATGGAACAAAATCATGAAAGACATATTTTTCCAGATAGATACCTAACCATGATAATAAAAAGAAATAATCTTGCAATTTCTTCTGTCATTTCAAATAATCAAATGTTTTTTGTGATGATCGATAATTCTGATACACCAGAGGTATATGTTGCTTCGCTAAATTGTATTAACGAATGTTTCACATACGATTTGAAAATATCCTCCGGCATTTGTGATGACCCATATTCTGTCTCAATTGGAAATCAGCCAATCAACAAATATGATGAAAGGGATCATTGTTTTCACTGTATTACTAAGTTATGCAATTTGAAGCATCATCCCCATTCAAAGGTAAATGGAAATATACCTGTCACTGTGAATTACAGAAAGATTGATCTAACTCACATAAAACCGTTATTAGGTGATATTTCTAATATGAAATATACCATAGAAATACATCCAAAGAAGGACTTTGAAGAGAAAAATAAAAAACTGGTCAATGAAAATTCGACAGTGACAACTCAAACCAACGATTCAGCCGTTGTTGATTTGTTGAGGAAGCAGTTACAGTGTCCAATCTGCATGGAGTACATGGTCGGCAATATTTATAACTGCCAAAAGGGCCATGTAGCATGCAGTGTGTGTAAAATTCAACTGACCGAGTGTCCTTCTTGTCTAACTAAAATTGGGAAATCTAGATGTTTTCCGTTAGAGAATTTGGCTGATGAAATTGTACTGGCTTGTCTATTCTCAGGAAATGGCTGTGATTTCACTGGAAAACTGAAATTGCTGTCCCAGCACGAGAAACATTGTGAACATATTATACATCAGGACTGAGAAACCTAGATAATCTCTCTTCGTTTTTTTGTGATCCACGTAAAATAAGCTCATTCATTGGAATATTATATAGCATTCAGAATCAAATTCCTGAGAAGTATTTATTGAATATATATATTATTGTCTTGAATATTGTCATATTTTTTTTATGTTCTGATTCTCACGAAAAGGGATATCCTGTAATGTTCAGAGAACATCGTGAAGACCAAGGAAAATAAGGTAAGAATTGATGTTCTTCTTGAATTTCTGGAGGTAATATGCCTCGGGAAACACCTCCCTTGGCAATGTGTTCCAGAGCCTCGCTGTTCGATGGATAAACGAGTCTTCGGAAAGAGATCGATGTTCTAGGTGACCACGAAGGGGTGCGAAGCCTCAACTCGACGGGTTAATCTCGCGGGGACTGCCAAGGGAGGAACAATTGTTGATATTCCAGAAGAGCATCGTTCATGAAAATATCTATAAAATAGAGCCAGATCGCCAACTTATCTACGGTGTTCCAGAGAAGTGAGTGAGTTTGTGAGCGAGGCATCACCCACGAAACGAATTGCCCTTTTTTGGACAGAATCCAACACTTTCAGGGTATGTTTGGGTGCTGCACTCCAAATATGGGAACAGTATTCCAGGACAGGTCGGATCTGTTCCTTATAGATCATAAATAGCTGACTGGAAGTGAAATAGGCCCAGGCCCGAAAAAGTTTTTGGGATGCACTTTTAGCAATTGATATCGCGTGATTTTCCGAAGAAAGGTTATTGCTGACAGTAATACCAAGCATAAAAATGGATGTCTTCAACAGTATGGTTACTCCTGAATAGCTTATGTTAGGCACAGTGAGATCGGCTTTTGTAGAGAAAAGGCATGCTTGTGTTGTGTTTGCATTGATATTTATTCATATATATTTATTCTAAGATATGATACTTGATTTCTGTTTGGGGTTCTGCCGAGGCTTCTGTAAATATTAATCTATATTGAAATTTGAAATTGTAGAATTCAAATTTCAAACACGCTTTCTGTTGTACGTCTTTATTCGTTCGCCACTCTAACACCGTGTGAGACACAGTCGAACGCTTTGGACAAATCGAACATAGAATCATAGAAAGGATGGAATGTCGCCTTCTTTCAAAGCTCTCGACAATGTCTTCCAAGACCTTCAGTAGTGCCCTCATTGAAGAGCTGGCGAGGAAGTCATTTTCATAGTAATGAGTTAACTTTCCTTTGAGTAATATTTCTATAAATTTAGAAAACGTGGTAATTATTGATATTGGACGATAATTGTCCAAAGTTTCAATATCATTTTTGTTTTCATTAAAGGCAAAACTCTTTGTTGCAGAACGAATCAGTCGATTAATATTGAACACTCGAAATCGCCCCTTATCAATCATCACTGAGACGACCACTTTCGCGCACCACCACCTTGGTATACAGAGGGTTGGGCAAGAGTATGGAACCAGGTGAATATCTCGGTAACCGTTTGTTAGATTTCTTCGAACATACGTACAGAGTGATTCAGAACGTGGTGGATTTGAAAATCGTCGATATTGCCACTTTCTCAGTTATTCCGGAATTATTATTAGCTACCTTATTTTAAATGAAACATCCTGTATTTTATTGAATTCACAAATTCTTCCTGGAACGATGATTTCATCGATCCATCACACTCGGGTTCTAGCAAGAATGATTACTGAGATATAGGGTGTTCAAAATCGAGATTTTCCAACTTTAGTTTTTTTTTGTGTCGAAACTATTTATTATCGGCCAAAACGGCTTCCATGTCCCCATCTCAACTTCTGATTCACTATCTATTGGTATTTGATGGGAACAGATACAGGGTGATCCAGATTTCTGAATCTTGAACCACCCTGTATTTGTTTCAATTAAATGTCGGTAGATAGTAAGTTAGTTTTGACCAACAATGAATAGTTTCGACACAAAAAAATCCTAAAGTTGAAAAATCTCGATTTTGAACACTCTATATCTCAGTAATCATTCTTGCTAGACCCCAAGTGTGAGGAATCGATGAAATCAGCTTTTAAGGGAGAATCTGAAAATCCAATAAAATACAGGGTATTCGATTTGAAATAAGGAAGTTAATACTAATTCCGGAATAACTGAAGAAGTGGCAACATCGACGATAACATTTTCGAATCCACTACGTTTTGAAATCACCCTGTACATATATTCAGAAGGAATTGACAAACGCTTACCGAGATATTCACCTGGCTCCATACTTTTGCCCAACTCTGTATATGAATACCAGTCTAATTAGTGTGAAAAGGTACTCCGACATTGCTTTCACGAACATGAGAAGAGCCGTACTCTATTATTTCGATAACATAGTGAAAACCGCTATATCTAACTTGTTTTCAATTGTTCTGGTACACCTTCATATCAAGAAGACCAAAAACTATCAAATAAAATGAAAAATCCAGGTCCGTTTTCAGAAAAATCAAGTTAATAATGGCCGTTCGAAGAAGAAACGTCGGGTTTTATTTAAATATGACAATTCCATTTTGAAGAGGAGGAAAAGTGATAATGATGAAGTGACATTTATTTTGAAATATCTCTTCAAATAAACTAAGAAATAAATATAAACGATTCTGCATATTTTCCTTCCTCTCCAGATATCTCCGGACCCAGTTAACACAGTATATCTTATGGATATCCATTTCAAGTCCTATTCAAGGCGGGATATCCGTGGACATAAAATGAATATCCATAAGATATCCTTTTGCGGATGTACTTGAGATATCCGAAACAAACGTCCTGAATACAAAAGTAACACTTGTGCGTGGGTCTTTCAAAAGATAGCAAACATTATGATGCACTATCTGCTATTATTATCAATTCGATTTTCAAAAACAGCGCGAGTTGGCGTAACGTCTCAAATAGTCCAAGATTAGTAGAACTGATGATTATTTATAGATCATCGATTCTACCAACCTTGGAATAGTCAAATAATGTCAATCTATTCCCATATTTAATTAATTTGAAGTGAATTTGGAAATGATTCCTACGAATTCGTCCAAAATTGATGATGCATAAGAACTGACAACTACTTTATTCGAACGCAGTGAGACGTGAGTGCTTCCCAATTTTTGTGATTTTTTTCTATATATAGGGTATACTATCTCTTATCCATATCCATAGTTGATCTCTTATGGATATCCATAATGAATATCTTTAAGACATCCAAAAAGGTCACACTGTCACATCCTATGGACGTCCATAGGATAAACCACAGCCATCTTCGTATATCTTATGGACATCCACAATATCCATGATGGATATCCATAGTATATCCATAAGATGTACTTGTGCTATCTGGGAAAATAATCAGATTTTTTTTAGCATTAAATTGCGCAACTTTGCTCTGATTCAACCTACTCTGTATATCCTATATAGTTACTGCAATCCCCATGCTTAGCCACGAATTTGTAGCACCTTGTATATGTTGTGTATTTAGCAACACACTTTCATTAGGTTTTTGGATGTATTGTATACAAATTGATATTGATCATACAGGACGTGTAAATAAATTCAGAATTGAGCAAACCTAATCACGAATAAAGGGGTAGGTTGCATTCGGCCCAATTTTCGATTCACCCAATTTTCGATTTACCCAAATTTCGATTGACCCAAATGACGTAATATAAGAAAGGAAAAAATCCATTCCTGCACAATGAAGAAGACTACCTTTTCTTAACTAACCAACCTAACCTGACCTGAATGAATAAAATTGGCGAATCGAAAATTGGGTGAATCGAAAATTGGGTGAATCGGAAATTGTGAGAATCGAAAATTGGGTGAATCGAAAATTGGGCGAATCGAAAATTGGATGATACGAAATGTTGGCCCAACGACATATTCGAATGTGAAATGATTGTTGATAATTCCCGTTTTATTGAATCCGAGGAAATGTGACATTATTTGACATCAACGCATCTTTCGGGTATGGTATGTTCGGAGACGGTGGGTGAATCAAAAATTGGCTGAATCGAAAATTTCCATCGTTCAAGTTGGAACACCTGATTGGGTAAGAGTATCGAAGGGAATAATCTCAGATAAAATTATGAACTTGAAAAAAAAAAGTAATGATAAAGAACTACATTGAGAATTCGCATTCTCGATGTGATGACAATATCAATTATTTCTTGGTTTATTCAACAGAAAACAACTGGTTTCCTGGCTATATGCCACGACGAACATTGAATTATATCTTTTGAGCACACACACACACGATGAAAATTTGAAAACAAAATCTTCTGGAGTTGAGAATTTGCATTCTCTTTCAGATATATATAAGGGTGTCTGTAAAAGGTTGGTACATGGCTTAGTCGAGGCTTGTTTTGCGAAAAGCCAAATCCTAGAAGCATTTCATGTAACAATTGGATAAATGACGTTAACCCCCTATTTCAACCCCGCTGAATCCGAAAATACCGTTTATCAAGTCGAAATTCCAACCGGAAGTGAGATATTCAAGATGGCGTCCGAAATACCCCTAAAATCTAATTATTTTCTACTTTCGGTCAGCTATACGATTGAGGTGTCGATGTCTATGTTTTCGGGGGTGTAAAATACGATGAGACACTCAAAAAATGATTTGGAGCATTGAAAGTTCATCGAATGATCAAATTTTGACGAATTAGACCAAAATTCCAAAGAACTTGTGAAAACGTGTTGCATAATGTATATGCTTGCATACGCTTTCGTGGGTGCTCAATAAGTTTATGAGCCAAAAAAGCATTTGAACATTGTCCAAGCCTTCATTTCTTATATTTTGAGAAAGCCCCTTGCAGCCACTAGTTCCAAATTCGGAAAATGAATTGGGAATAGGTGGCAAAGTCATCAGGATTAGGACATATCGTCCATCAACAATTTTCCAGCCGTAATTATTCGGGTCTTATAAATCAGGATACTGATCATGGGCCTTAATCTACACTAGTATCTGAACATAACATTAACATCCTTCGATTTGTTCAATTTTTTTTCACCTGGAAGTAGCACCGGAGAATGTGTTGACGGAGGGCATCAGTGGTAGATGGCGAAAAGCATTCGCACTGTCCAAAAAATTGCAACATGGGCTGCGTCTGCCGTTGTAATGTCCGGTCCAACTCAAAATAAAAATGGTAGTA